AGGGATGGATTTTTTATTGACATTACGAAAGTTATTTCACCGAAGTAAGCAACCCACTTGCATCTAAATAAAATTTCAAGAGAAGTCGAGGCTTAAAACAACGTAATAATGACATTAATCACAATAACTTGTTGAAAAATACTCACTTAAACGTACCAAAGCTTAATTTATAGCTGATTTTGCATACTTCAATTTGAGCTCCAAACGAATTTAAAATTGTTTAAAATTCTATGATTTTTTTTCTGCTAAGTATCGCGCTTACATGAATTTTTGCGTCGGTGCGAATATGATAAGAAGGTATTTATGCTATATTCGTAAGTCTTGCATTGAAAAATATTTATTTAAACGCACTAAAGCTTAAATCACAGCCAATTTTGCATACTTTAATTTGATCATTTAAAAAAAATTTTAATTTTTTTATTTTTTAGTTATGACTAAATGAGTAAGAAAATTTGATAACGTATGCAATGAGATTTTACAGTAAAACCATGTCTCTCTTCGATTGCTCGTAAGTTTCATTCAAGTATGTTAAATCAAACGAAATAGAGCTTTAAATCAAGATGTTTTCAAGCACTTTAATTGAAGCTTTAAAAAAGTTCTCTACAATTTGTTTTAAAACGTTATGTATGAAAAAATTAAAGACCTACTAATTGCATTTTGGGCTCAAAATTATGATTTCACTTTCATGGCTTTTGAAGAACGTAACTGATTTTAATCGAACAGAGCTTAAATTAAAGCTTATTGTAAGAGATTTATCATAGCTAATTAGAAGCAAAGTTATGAGCAAAACAAAAAGACACATTTTCGTCGATCATTTTTGTGTTAAAAATTCATCGATGGATTAAAAAAAAAAAAAAAAAAAAAAAATGGGTGACACCTCCACTAAAACCTGTGTTTTTTTCATAATACATGACATTACGAATAAAATAAGCCCAGTTCTAAGAATATGCTTAAAAAAAAGTTTTAATTCAAAATAGGTGACGAAAATACGATATTTGTGGACTTCCTTACGTATACAAAAATAAGATGATTAATAAAAATTCTTACCATAATTATAATATTCGTCATCTGAAAAAATAAAAAGTGATTATTTCATAATTTAGTATATCAGTAACCACAATAAGAATAGTATGCGCGAAACAAGAGAAGCACAATTTACCAAGCATATCTCAATATCTTGGAAAAATAAAGCGAAATCTAAAATTATTCAGAAGAGAAGCATTAGCTTACTTAAACAAAAGTAAGATCTCGAGAAAATACGTTACAGATGTATATTACTTGCTACATTGTTTGTGTATGAAAATATGATGTAGGTATTACGTAAAGACTCATACCATAATCATATAGTTCGTTCAATTCTTCAAGAGGAATATCGCCCCTCTGCATTACTTCGCAATTCATACTATTGAGAATACGAATGAGGTCTTTGTTGCCACTGTTAAAAATTTCAAGTTCGTATCTTGCGTTGAAGGACTGGAAAATAGACAATTTTGTTGTTATTATCATATTTATAATGAGCTTATTTTAAAAATTGTATGATTTTTTCGCATCAATTGACTAAATGAGTATCCTTAAAGATAAATTTCCATTCAAAGATAAGACTCTAATGCATATTATAGAGTAGGAATTTGGGGTAACGTGGGTTATAAAAAACCAATAATTGATAACATTTTTCGAAACAGGATTCAAGTGAACGAGCATGCAAACATAACATAAACCTTACTATTTTGGGTATGGATGGTAGATATTCTTGGGCCCTTTGAGAGGGGATGTTCATAAGATCGAGTGTACCCCTTGTTTGAGTATCGCAGTTGATGTAAACATTGATATTTTTTGACGACTTTTTCTGGTTTACAACAAAGACAATGCTTTTAAGAGGCTCAGCATTTTTTCGAGCCATCTTCACATGAGTTTGCTGAATGCGTTTGTTGTCGGCAAAATCCATCAGGATAACTGCACATTTTGTTAATTAAACTTTTATATTTTTGTAAAGGTGCCATGGCTTACGAAAATTTAATTGTAAAACATACACCATCGTATTCTTTTCATTTCAAACTATGCAGCTTAATTATTACCACCTTACCTTCATCAGACTGTTCATCGATCATTATGATGGATGTAGCGACGGTATTTGAGTAATCAATTTGAAAAATTTTTTTTTTTTCATGAACTGTTGTGGGTGTAATATTCTTCACAAGAATGTATAACCTTGTATGGTTCATAGAGTTGATCATTCTTTTGGTTAGCTCTTTAAGTACAGAAAATACATAAATTAGCAGATACGTATTGTAATCAAGCATACTAATAATTATAGAACAAATACAAATTCATGAGTGTAGTTCAGAAAATGACGTGAAAATTAACAAAAACAAAAAAAATTTTTTTAATGTGACAATATTTTTTTGTTCGAAACGTTAGTGAAGTACTTAATAGTCATTATAGTTTATGAGAGTGAACGATCGGTTACATATCTTTCCAAAAAACTTTCAGTGCGAAAAAATTGAAGTAAAACTTTCTTCGGGGTCCAGATAGTGAGAAAGTGTTAGTAGTTGAGAAAGAAAGACGGATGTATCGAAACAGATTTATATATGAGATATAGTTAGAAATAGAGGAGGCATCATTATTGGACCTACCTTCGTTAAATACTAAGTTATTGTTGGCTGAGTTGAAAGCATGGACGAAAGTCATGGAGAGCAGAAACACTACGACGCCCTGCATGCTGAACTAAAATTGTCAGTCTCTAAAAAACTATTTATGGCGTACTTTATACAATTTGTGTTTTTAATTATTAATATATAGTTATATGTCTACAGTTATGCTTACAGTTAAAAATTTTGTGTAAACTGCTATTTTACACGAAAAAATCTGTCAAAAGAAGTTTGTGCACTTTCGTATAGAAAATAGTAATTATTACACAAAGTTTGTGTATCCTGTATACTAGACTAAATAACATAAAATTAGTGTAGCTTGAACATGAAAGTTCTATATAGTGCAATTAAAACAAAATATGTTTAGTGTAACCAATTTGAAACGTAATTTTTCTGTTTGGAGTTGAGCTGATTTTGTGAAAGTACTTTATACTACGTTGAAGCTTTTATACTCTATTTTTAACACTATTCGTCAAATGGTGCGTTACTGAATTTAAAAGTCAGTTTTTAATTTTGAAAATAACTATTACGTAAATTGACGCGGTGGAAAAACCCGCTTCAAAAAATACGAAATACTGAAAGCAATGCACAAACGTATGAGATGAATTGTAATTGTGCGTTTTTTTAAGACTAGTGTTGATATTATCTGTTTGACATATGCGCTTCAAAGAAATTTTAAAGCAAACATTTTTATGAAAAGTTCTAGCTCTTTATTTTAATACATAATATTTTCCTTTAAGTGACTTGAAATTCTACTAATTTTTTCCTTTGCGTGGCCTCAATTTCTTTTACTACGATACGTGTTCTTAAAAATTGTCTAATGTGACTTTTTTTCAACAAAAAAGTAGTTTTTCAACAATGGTGAAAAGTTATTTCATGCGATTCCCTTACAACGTTATATAGTGTATGCAGTTATGGTATGACGTGTTAAAAAAGTTATTGTGTATTTTTTAAGTCCAAAAATATAATTTGTTACTTCAGAAAATTTTCTTGAAGTATACATGCGATTTTTTTTATCATCGAAAGTTTTGAATAAAAATTGAGTTTAATAGTGAAATAATTTTTTTTGTTATTTAATTTTAAGATTTTTAGCTCAGGTTACTACTTGAATACGTACTACAATTAAAATGAAAGTATCTACGAGTAACATATCTTACTTTAAACTCAGATAGTTTATCTGCAAAACGATTGTCGTCAGAATCAAATGAAACTTTGTGAAAGTATTTAGTTGAAATTCCAGTAAAATTCACAACGCAAGGCATAATAAAATACTAGTTGAAAATTGAGGTTTTAATAAATAATCTTATGAAAAGCTGTATTTTTTGTTAAATACTTTAAGCATACGCAATGCTGACATAGTTTTGTATCCTTTAACTGAAAAACATAATATGGAATCGAATGTGGCTCATCACAAATTCCAAATACTTTAAATGTTCACGAAATACTTTAAATATAAATGTGAAATAAATCAAGAATCAAAATTTTAAACAACGTACAATTTTTGAAAAGAAAACGAATCACTTAAATAAACGACTTTCGTTTCAAAAAAAAAAAAATCTGTCGGTTTTAAAATTCCAGCCCCCCGAGTAACGCGACATAAAGAACTTCGTTCTAAAATTTGTGTGTAACGTGATATACTATGTTAGATCATTGAAACCTGATAAAGTATGATCCAATTTCTAATTACACCTTAACTTTTATTATAAAACTAAAAAAAAATTATGAGTTCTTCATTAAGTTCAGAGAGAATAAAATGTCTGCCAGGCACTGGTACTGCTTTTGTAAGATTGCCTTACGTTTCAATAGTGACAGACACATCAAATGCCCACCAAGTAGAAGCAGACGCTTAAAAAGTGTGCGAAAAATTTTTATGAGGCAGAATATACTGCCTATACATGTATGGAAACCATTAATTATTTTTTTCCATTCAACAAAGTAACATTTTTATGGTTTTTTATCAAATTAGGGCATCAATTGTGAAAAAAACTATTTGGTTTTATAAATAGTCTATAGAGATGTAAAGAAGAATTAATAAGGATATGAATAAAAAGCTGATGTCAGATAATAACTAAAATAAAATAAAATGAAAGTCCGGTCTATTTTATGGTTATTTCAGGAAATTGATATGATCCACACGTTAGTATAATCCCACAGTCATGGATCACATTAACTTACTAGAGGATTGAAAAAACTTAAACGAGTTAGTTTCATTACTTTCAGTCTAATTTATTCTTTTAAAGGCATCTAAACTTTCTTTCATAATTTTTTTTCTTATAAGATAGCTTCTCTTTAACGGTTAGAGAAAAAAATTTCTAGTCCTTATTTTATTAATATTACAGTTAATAAAAACTATTACGATTTGAGGCTGAATTACAAAAAGAAAATTGTTATAGATGTGCCTATTTCAAATAGGCTTAAGAAAAATTACCAATACGGTTCTGATTTTAACAGTTCATTTTTCGTTGTGCGCATAGCTTCATATTCTTTGAATATATTTTCAGCTTCCTCACACTTGAGCTTAAAGTTGTTTTCCTCATTATCATCACGATTATCTATGTTTGATAATCTTGTGCACTCTTTATCCGTAGATACATGTTTAGAAAAAAGTTCATTATATTTTTTTAATGCATCTATAAGTTTACGTGATTTTGTAGTTATTCCAGACTTTTGCCCTTGAATCTCAATGAGTTCGTAGTCATCTGTCAACTGAACCAACGTATCATTTGTTGGTTGATCATTTACGGCTCCTTTAATAAAATCTAAGAAGTACGAAACTCTGGCAAATCCAATCTCTTGATTTGTGTTGCATAGTTCAGTAGTTACATAACTTATAACTCCAATAACTGTATTTTTGTACATGAGAGGACTTCCACTGTCACCCTAGAAAAATTCGTATTCATGAAAAATAAGAAAAAAGATGTTAATAACTTAAAATACTTTAAATTATTTGAAAAAGTAAATCATTTATTGATTACTTGTAGTAAAATATTTTAAGGATATATGCTTTGAGTTATTGATTGAAATTATTTAAATTATTTCAATCAGTGAATTGTTCATTGATTACTTGTAGTGAAATACTTTAAGGAGCCATACTGACAAAATGCCATTTTTTTATAGGCTATCGAAACATTTACTGCTATTAAATTTTCACTTCACCAGAGATGCGGTAAGTGCAAAATTAGAATAGGATTTTTATGAAAAAGCCAAGGATATGCTTACAAAACAAGCTGTTCTATTTTTACTATCTAAGCCTTGTTCCACGTTGCCACAGAGTCGATCTGGCAAACCTTCGCAATCATCCAAATTCTTGAGTTTAACAGTTGCAAACTTTAGTTTCCCACTGTTCGTGAAAACGTAATGTATCATATTTGTTTTAGTATCAACGGTTTCATTAACACCATCATGTCCAAAACCCATGATTGTCAGAAATTCATCAGAGTATGTTTCATTTTTCTTTGGTAATAACGCTAGTCTATTGTATGCTTTTCCACCGACACTAAAACTGTTTTTCAGCTAAACACAATACATCAATAATAAAATTTTGAATAATTGTCCAAGCCACTAACAAATATGTTATCGGATCTTGATGTTGCTTACCTTTAGTACGGCTATATCGAAACGCAATGATTTTAGAGATTTTATTGATTTGTGAGAATAAATTTTACTGACAGGAATAGAGTACCCTCTTTCATAAATATCTATTGATTCAGCAACAACTGCGAACGGATCGTCTTTGAATTTAAGGTTTTCTATATCATAAACGCAGTGAGCTGCTGTTAGGACGATGTCAGGAGCGATCAATGTACCACCACATACTCGCACTTTTTCTTTGTTGTAGCCAATTCCTATCCAAACGATGTATGGAAACTGTTTTCTTCTTGCAAGAGCACCATTAATTATATTTTCACTTTCTAGACCAACAACTTAAACAGATAAAAAAAATTTCATTTAGGTTTTTCATACAGTTTTTCTAACTGATGTGATGTCTTGTAATTCAGAGTCTTTGTTAGTGGTAATCAAATTTTTGATTATCTAGGGAAAAAAGTAAGACCGTAATATCATAAATTTAACTGACAATATTCTCTTTTTAAATTATTACACACGTTGAAAATTTTTATACTAAAAGTCGTGTTTACCTCAAAAATTAGAGGTACTTCAGTAGTTTTAAATTCATTGTAAAAAAATTTGAAAATGTTATTAGTAATGAAGTGACTACGTTTTATCGAATTCGCTATGAACATACAATGTGTTGAATTTCTTTATAAGTAAATTTATAGTAAAAGATTTTTTATAACATTAAACAACTAGAAGTATTAAAGCTTACACACTACTAAATTTTTTGTTTGTAGTGTAAAGGCAGCTGTATCCAATTTTCAATTATTAAAAAAAGTGTCAAAGAAACAGATAAAAACGTGAGCTATTTATAAAAGCAGCGTGGAATTTTTCAGTGAACTTTTCAAATTTATTTAACGATGCATGTAAAAATTTCAATTTTCATCAATATTCCTTGATTATATAAACAAATTCTGAATTAAAAAAATTTTCAAACAAAAGTTAGACTATAGAATTCTTGTAAAATATTGTATTATTAGCAGTAATGATACCAGATAAGCAAAAGTAATTAAATTTTATTCTTTATCAGCACCTATCCGAAAGTATCATTAGAAATTTTAAACAAATTTTAAAACCATCCTAATATTTACATATGTTTACACACACGCGCATGCACAAATGTATATACGTATATATACATACATCTACGGTATATGTTTACAAATGTATTACAAAATCAGGTTAAGGAATTTTTAGTTAGTTTTCAAGTACTTCACCATTGTTTGACAGCAAAGAAAAAAACCCTGCCAAAATTGCCAAAACAAAACACTTCATTTTGATTTCCTTATGTAATAAACAAATCTCATTGCTAAGAAGTAAGCTTTTTTTATACGCTGTTGAAGTAAACAATACTTCATCCCTACTTTCATAAGTTAGTTTGCCATTTGATCAAACAATAACCATGTAAATTAATTCAAAAAATTTTTCTTGATAAATATTTAATTTTGCATAAAATAAAAATAAACTTACGATATCAGTTACAATTAATTTCTCTTTTAAACTGATTATTAGTGATGACTTATAAGTATGAATAATTAATGAATAATTTTTCAAATAACTTTATGAAATGTCTCAATAATTATACCTAAGATAAGGCTATTGTACTTTTTTAATTTTGGTAACCTTATTTTTAATTTGCTTAATTTAAAATTTTTACGCAACTGAAAAAATCAGAGGTATTTTTTTTTCAAGTCAAATATGAAGAAAATATTTTTGCACTGGCGAAGTACGTTGCAGTACGTAATTACACCGAAGATTGTTGTTACCAGAATAAGCTATACCAAAAGTGATGAGCATAGAAAAATAACGTACAGGTCTTGAGATTTCTGCAACCGGTACAGGATTTTTCTGTACCATGGATAGTCTATTAAATTTGTATACTGCGCATGGCTTTCTACCGTACCGTCTACCGCGCATAGTACGTGCGCTTATAATATACAGTGGAGATATGTATATATATATATATATATGTAAATACTTGCATACATGTATGGGATTGTCATTGTTATTTTGGCTCAATATGTAAATTGTTCTTTGCGAGTGAAAACCAATTATTATACGCAACAGGAAAGTGACTACAAGTGCCTACTGCACTTATCATTACATCTTGTTAGATTCGTATCAATGTATTGAACTTTATATTGTGTTGTGGTGGATATACTGAAATCCTAACATCTTGAACTTTTACAGCTACGTATATATATACTGACATTCTATATGCTTCCACTGGCCGACTAACTTTCTATACTGGTACAGGAAAAACCCGTACCACGTATCGGATTTTGACGTACTAAGTATAAGGTTTATCTATACTCACTAAGGTACTTTAAAGTATACTACCATACCAAATATACCTGTACCAGTACACATTTTTCTTGTACAGAGTATCGAAAATACTTGTACTAACATATAGTACCTGTTTTTCTGGTAACAACAATCTTCCGTATACAAATGGCTGAGCTCACACTGTTCCACTAAAGCCGACATTTTAGATCCTAGTACTGCCTAAACTATAGTTTTAAGTTGTTACTTTAGTGAAATATGTTAAATTAAATGCTTTTTTTTATCTGTTTCATTAATTTTTACAAAAAAAGTAGTGTTTATTGTTAAGCTAAGAGCTTACAATTATTGATAAATGATTTGTAGTTCAAGAATAATATAATGACATACACAGTTAGAGACTTGACATTGGGGGTTGAATAATTTGTTTTAACATTGTTTGTAAACCAGCTCTTCTCTGCTCAGTAATGGAAAAATAATCAAGGGAAATGTAAAATATAAATTAATCAATTAATGATGAATATTGTGTATACAATTTTCGTCCTTTGGAGCAGTCCCTCGTTAAGTCATCATTCAGTTATGTTCCAGTCTTAAATAGTGAATCTCTTTGAAAGAGACTTAATCCAGTATTGAAAGAGGTGTACGGAGAAAAATTCATAAAACAAACTTGTGCTGAATTTTTATCAAGAAATTTCATATCGTTATCTAACATCGTAATAAAACACATTTACATCATTGATAAAAGAATTCTATGGGTATTCATTATGTGAGTTTCTTGTATGAGCTGAAGTAAAACATGACTTTTGAACCAAACATCTTTCACAAAACCAGGGAATTTCAAGTTTTTACTATACATTGACGCTCCTAAGTGAGTAACATAAAGAAAAAAAGCTTTTCTCTATTCAGAATTATCATGAAGTTAACCGCTTCTATAAAATGTTTGATTGATAACTATTTACATATAGATACATTATCATTCATAATTCTCTTAAAAGAATTAACAATTTTAATCAATTTCTGTAATTCATTCATATTTTCCAACAGTATTATGTACTTTTTCAAGAAAATTTAAATGACAATGATTATTAAGTAATCACAAATGATGTAGATTAGGTATTAAGACAATATATAAAAGCAAAAAACTCGTTTTTAGTCAGTGTGATGAAAAAAGTGTAAAATGAAGTCCGTTATTTTAACCACTGTCTTAGCAGTGGTTCTACCTATACTTGGTAAGGTTATAAAATTGTTTCACATAAATTGAAAAAGTCAAAAGTAAGTTTAAGTACAAGCACGAATATAATTAAATTTAATAACAATTTTAATATATCTTATTGAAAAGAAATTCTTACATATTCGTAAATCATTTGCAGTTCTGTAACTTACATAATTATAAAAAAAAAATTAATTAACGATAATCAAAACAAAAAAGGTATGATTTTTCTTATTATTGAAATATCGTAATAAAATATCCCATATCTTGGAATTTTTCATGAGTTTTAGTTAGTTATTGAAATGTTTTAGTTACAGCACTCAAGGAAAATACTGCTATCGATGCAGATGACGAAAATCAGGTATCATACAGTGTTTGGTTAGGAATAGGCTATGGACGGAACAAAAAATTTATTTGCGGAGGTGCGCTAATCGATCATGACCTTGTTCTGACATCTGCGCACTGTGTTTATGACCCAGAAAAGCGGGCATTCAAAGATGAACCATACGTAGTTGTCACGGAAGCTCTAGATGTTGATGACACGATGCATAGTATTCCTGTCAGCAAAATATATACTCTGAAGCGGCCTGATCCTACTCGTTACGACATTGCTGTACTAAGGGTAAGGCATATCTTTTGTTTGTAGTGTCTTAATGCATAGTACTTTTCAAATAAATGATTAAATCTGTTTACATCGTATTAAATACTTATAGTTGAAGACAAGTTTTCCCATTGGTGGTAACTCACCTATTAAGACTATATCATTACCCGAAGAAAAAACAAAATTATACATTTTCAAGAAATACAAAGATTTCATTGGTGTAAGAGCAGTATTCACTGATTTTGAAAGTGAAAGTGACATTAAAACAACTAACCCTTTAACGAAAAAGAAAGATTACTGGGGGATATTGGCTAATAATTTAAAATATGCAACCGCCGAAGTGATAAAACACAAAGATTGTGATAAATTTCCGGATCGACTTTGTGCCATAGGAAGATCACAGCAGAAGAGCGATTTGTGTTCGAAAATTCATCATGTAAGTATATTCCGATTTTTTTAACCAATAAAATTTTTTTCTCCATTTGATGCAAAACATATTTTCTTCAGTATAGATTGATTACCGCGTGACAAATATTTTTGTTAATTCCATGATTGGTTGAAATTGATCACGCGCTTATTTCAGAGTAAATACATTAAAAAATGATTAATTACAAAATTTTTTAAAATGTAGTTTGAACAAAGGTTGAGTCATCAGTTCTAAAACAGTGTGTAAAAGATAAAGCTTCGTTGTCATGTAAATTTAGAATTATAGTTCATTTATAATTATTCCACCCCAAGAAAGTTCCAATAAAATTTGATTGGATTGCATCTTCATAATTATATTAAGGACTATTATTATTTATATATTTTTTAATTTTCGATCTGTATGAATTATTTCAAATAGTTTAAAACTTTATCGAATTAATATTATACTTCAAATTTTTTTAGAATGATAGAGGAAGCCCTCTGGTATACAACAACGAGTTAATTGGAATAACGAGTTACGGTACTATTGAAAACTGCGGTGTCGCAGGAATTGCAGTTTTTGCTAGAGTCTCTTATTTTATAGACTTTATTAAGGGAATTATAGATAATAAACCTACAAAAGATACTTTGGTTGCATCGATCAACGGTTACAAACATTTTGAGTTTTTCATGTATAAGTGGGACATAACTACAAAATCATCGAATCTCATACGTAAACTTGAAAAGCTCCAGCGTCTCTATACTATATACAATTCTGAATCTGAAAAAGTATATTCAAGCTTCGAGAACGGAAAAAAACCAAGTGTTTCCGAATATCAAGCAATTGGACAATACGAAAGTGAATTGCTTGCTTTTAAAAATGAAGCAGAAAAGATGCTTGCAACCGAAAAAAATGTTTTCTTCAAACTTTATTAATATAAAAAATAAAATCAATGTATTTTCTCAAAACTTTACATAAAAAAATTGTTCATTTCTCAAATAATATCTAACAATTAGAAAAATAATGTATCGATTAACCCTTAAATGAAGTTTAAGAATTTGGAATCATATGTGTTATAATGAAAAAATTTCTTCCAACTATAAAATAAAATTACTATGAAGCTATCTTACAAGATTCATCAGTTTTGTAGAAAACTATCCTAAGTCAAAATTTACTCGGCTCCGAGTGATCAGATGGTGTGTTTAGAACGGGTAGCTTGTAATAATTAAAAAACTAATAGCTCAATTAATAGTAAAAGCATTGAACTCCTGAAGCTTATGAATCATAAATTATGGTTGATGATAAAAAAAAGTCTGCATAAATTATACAGGAATTACTTAAGGTGGTTAGCCAGTGGATTTGGCTTATTTTTATTTTTGTTTATTATTTTTTTTCTGTTCAGACAACTTACTTTAATTCTTTCAGCCCATTATTTATTGAATATAATTTTCGGTTATTTTAGAAATAAAATACTTCACTGAAACAAGAGCATTAAATAATAGGTACACGCATAGTGATGCATGAGAGAAAATATTAGATTTAAATAAAATTAATAAAAAATAGTAGCACAATAAGTATTCTCTCTGTAAGAGATTTTTTATGAAACTACAATTAGCTGTAGTAAACAGTTGTACTAGTTGTACTTGCGAAGATGTATACGTATAAATTAGTACTCATAATAGTTTATAGTACATTAGAATAACATGTGGTAAAGTCTTTTATCCATTTATTATGGCTCTTAGGACTTTAGTTTTATATCTTTTAAAATATCTGCTAAATGGGGTACTGTTTTTACCGAAATATGTAAATCGTAAGTCCTGTTTACGACAGTCAGGTGAACAACTCAGACACAACCATTAAACCATAAATAATTCGTATGTGATGACATCCTATTCAAGTATAATAAGAGTATATAAATACTTTTTCTCGGATACTACCTTTTTTATAATGAGATTAATATGTTTGCGACTTGGTTCATTTGATCTAAAAAATGTAAAACTTTTTTGGCATTATTGATTAAGAAAAAATAAAAATTCCGTAAGCAGAATCTTGATTCAATAATGATTATTTCTTTAATAGCTTCATGAATGACAAATAAGTTGAACAACGATTACTATTACATTTTTTATGAAAACAATAAATTCAATTTCTAGTATTATAGAAATTGACTCAATACATGGTGCTTTAAATTTTTCTGTAAACTTAATGCGATTGATTTAGTTGAGCAATTTTTTGTGACATGACGTGCCATACATAAATTAACTTATTGATATGTATTCAAGGGGTTTTAAGATTTTTGATGATTTGTTAGTGGCGTTCCTTCCAAATTTCATAATTTAATATTCATTAACTGACGTGATGGACATATCGTTTGTTGGTTCATCAATTATTGCTCCAATAATGAAGTCGATAAAATAAGAGACGTTCGTGAATGTTTCAATCTGGCTCTCTCCGCAGGAATCAGTGTTTCCATAACTCACTATTCCAATTACTGTGTCATTGTACACGAGGGGACTTCCACTATCACCCTGGAAAATGTAACATTAAAAATATTTGTTAATTATTCAATAAAATTTGAATGCTACTAACCGTTAATTACTGTTAATATGATAGATTATAAAAAAAAAATTCTCATATCAATACATTGAGTCATTAAAAAACTGATATAAATCATCACTTTTTTTACTCAAGTGTTATGCTAAATGTATGATTCTGCTTAATTTTAATACAAATTTTTTAAACATGAATGAAAAATGCTCTTACATAGCAGGCTGTTGTATAATCACCATTTGATGTTCGTTTCATCACGCCACAAAATTGATGGAGAGTTCCCGAACACCAAACCGAATTTAAGATTTTGACGATTGTGTATTTTAACCTTCCACTCCATGCGAATTGAAAACTATTACTTAAGTTACCACGATTGAAAACTTTAGTAACATCATCCTTTCCAAAACCTGAGAGTGTTGCAAGTTTGTCTTCATAGTTTTGATTTCTCTCGGGCAATGATATTGTTTTAATAAGTGAATAGTCACCAACGTCAAAACTTTTTTTCAGCTACAAACATACGAGATAACAAACAGATGATGGAATAACTTTCTGGAGGATTAAAATTAAATATATATACTACAAAATTGATAAACTTACCCTTAACACAGCAATGTCGTACTTATTAGATGACTGATCGTATAGCTTATGAGAATAAATTTTTTGGACCCATATAAATTTGTTCAAATCCTCGTACAAATTTATTATTCCTGCACGAACTATGTATGGCTTATGTTTGATCTTTTGAACTTTATTATCATAAAAGCAGTGAGCTGCTGTTAGGACAATGTTAGGAGCGATTAGTGTTCCACCACACAAGTGGATTGGGTAGGTTGTACTGTGGATCGCTATCTCAACACTGTATGGAAACTGACCCTTTTCGGCGTTACTACCATGAATGATATTTTCCACTTCCAAGCTAGTAACTAAAATGAGTATATCACGTGAGATATTACTATAATATAGTTATATAAATAATGTTTATTATAATAAGAGATAAATGTACATGTTTACAGGTGATTTGCAAACGATTACTTTTTTTGTAATAATTTAAATGGCTTTTTTAAAAATTTCAAACAATTTACCTTTATTATTAATTGCAGAAAGATATGCTACCAAAACAACGAATAGAAAAGTATACTCCATTTTTACCTTTATGATTGAAATCATCAACTGCTTTGAAGAGTTTGCTTTTATATTGTGTCCCCAGTCGTTATTGTGTCCCCAACCATTATACGATATCAGGGTTTTACCCATTTTTGATCACGTACATATGTAATAAAATTCGATTAAATTGGGCTCTAGAGAACTAGTTGAAATTAATGGCTTTTAAAAGAAATTTTTTCGTTCATATTGACAAATGACCCAGAAGTAATTTTGGAACAAATATTTTCATACAAAATTTTAACTTTTACATACAAGTAACAATCATTCAAACACTTTTTCGATACTTTTTTTTTATTTGAACACATATTATTATGCAATGACTTGAAACTACGCGGGTTTTTACCGTAGACATCAAGTTTAGTTGTTTTTTGACTAAGCACTTACACTTGTGAAAAATAAGTAACGTAGGCTTAAAAATTTTTTTTATTAGTAAAATTAAAATACTTTTGTTCTTACTGTAAGTGCCCACTAAATACTTGACGTAAAAGAGTTTCAACTTTCATGTATTAATTCAATAATTTTTTCTGGTTTGATTTACTTTGTTTTGATAATATTTTTAAAGGTTGGCTTAGCTGTAGTGAAAGTAATCACATAGTGTCACGAAAAGTGCATACAAGAAATAAGTAAGGCATAATGTATAAGATGTGGTTTTTGAAATACAGAACATGTATACAAAGCCAGTATTTCTCTGTTAATCAATAATTTTTACGTTTTTAAGAACCTGGATTTATTATTTCAGGACTAAATACAGGGCAGAATCATTATAGCTTATGAACACGTTATTTATTATTAATTATGGCGTCTTAAAATAATTTTGCTTCGAATTAGTGCTCAGTGGCGTAAAAAAATATAGCACCGTATTTTTGTAGTAAGTTATTTTTGTGGTTCTCCGTTGGTGTATGCTTATCAATTGAAAAAGAACCACTTAGAAACAAAAAGTATTGCGTGAATAACACAAGTATAAATTAAGGAAGTCGTCTATGTTAAGACGGTTTTTTCCCTCGATTTGCTGGTGATAATGTTCATTTTACGTAGATATTTCATCTCATGGAAACTGATACACGGGTATTAAATTTAATCGATGAAAAAAATAGCGCATGGAATTCCCGAATGATGTTATTGCTATAATTCATAATAGGTTGTATAGCTTATTAAAACACTACATAAACATTTAACTGTATAGTAAGTCTGCGGAAAAATAATATGACATTAAACACTAGTACCTAAAGGTGTTTATGTCTTCAAATAAGTAATTGTAACAATCACTACCTGGACATAACCAAGCTACACTTAGGTACGTACTCGTGCGTATGCATAATAATAATAATGATTGCCGACAAAGTAATAGTGACAAAACACTAATGAAAAATTAAAAGTACGTGCGGCTACTGAGAGAAGAAGCCTCTAGTCTTAAACACTCGAACCTTTGCTTTTCGCGCAAGCCTTTATCACATCAAACAGGTTTGATTCTGGATTCTTTTACACAGAGCAGCTCACTTATCTGAGTGTCAAAGGTTGAAAACAGATAAAGAGGGAGGATTACCCTTACGTGTATGTACGCGCGTTTTTACATTCATATAGTTTACAAATGTAAGTGGAGAACGAGAGATAAGAGGAGAGTATATTTGTCGGCAGCTGTAAACAACACAGCCAGTCGTCGAAGTATTTATCCAAGCTTTTCCTACGAACGCTCTTTCTCTCTGGCGGCCGATAATAATTTTAAGTAGCCGGAGATTCTCGAGAGAAAATAGCAATAGGCGCGTATCATTAATTTAAGTAATTACACAAAGGCTACCTCGACTGGCTGCTGTTGATGATGCAGGTGATTTGGATGAGAGAGAGAGAGATAATATTCGCTGCTGAGAAATGGAATTATGCGCGGCTTTTCACTATAAGTTTTCTTTTTTTTTATTTTGCCTCACTCTCTTGTAGTTGCGATAACCATGAAAGTCCGAAGCATTTGGTTTTAATGTTTAGCGTCTCGAGAAGACAGCATATTCCAAGTGTAGACTAGGAAATCTCAGGGATTGTGGCTCTCTCTGACTCATCGATGGAAATTTATTGTAAAATGGTATAATATTTATTCGTTTTGTTGGTATTTGGAATTTTAGACGATTTTTAAAAAACTTTATAAAAATTTACGAATTTTCACGCCAATGCTACTGAGCTCTGCAGATTACATCTAAATAAATTACGGCATGAGATTACAGGGAAGAGGTACTTGTGTTTTTATCCGAGATACAATTTTTTACGATCTATTCTGTTAAGAAAATTTAAAACATTTTCGGTTGATCTTAATAAAAAATGAAACTTGTAAAAAAAAACAATGAACTGTTCCCGATGTCTGCTCCATTAACCCTTCGTGAAAAGAATAATCGTGTGCTTGGCCAAAAATCCAAACGAGCGTCAAAAAAACCATTCTTCCGCGAGAAGAAGTTCAGAGACAAAACGTCCCAATAAATTTCTGTGGGAAGGTCGCGACGCGAGTCCCATAAAAAAAAAAAAAAAAAAAAAAAAAAAAAAAAAAAAAAAAAAAAAAAAAAAAAAAAAAAAATACTATACCCAATACGAAACACATTATCTACTATAGGTAGATGGAAGCCGATCCTCTTCTCAACTGCAGGACACGCATTGACAGAGAGTCAACTCTGGCTCTTTGCCGTGTCATTTACGCGACATCAGACGTGTGTGCACAAAAGAGCGACGTCGCCTTGGTTCAGTCATCCATGAGCCATTCCTGTCCCCCCGAAAAGAGGGAACCAGCAGAGAAAAAGACTCTCGTTGTTTAGAGCAGCCCCAGAGCTTATCGGTACGGTGAAATCAAAGGACAACATAGCATATAGTAGCAACATCAGGAGCAGCGACACTGTCCTTCTGGTCAGCATCGCGAACTCGCTCAACCAAATTAATGCGGCGGTGCCTTTTGAGAAACTCTCAACGTAGGTAACAACACATGAAGCCTCAAAATCAGAAGCTCGTGAGTAGCAGCCACTATACATGCATGTGTGTATAATATTTATACACTTACGTGGTGAGCGTGTCCACTTTCTCGCATAACATATCTGCCAGGTATAGTGTATACAATACAGCCTGATGCTTGTCTGACTGCCGTTTTAGGGCTTTGTCACGCTCATCGTTCCCTTTTCGGTTGTTTTCTTCTTGGCGTTGAAAGGTCGCTTTTGGCTTTCGTTCCTTTGTCAGTCATACAGATGGACGTTTTGCTGATATTTCCCATTAATAGAGAGAATAAGTTTAAGGGGGTTCCGTCAATTTTATTATTTCAATCCTTTTTAAGTGGTTTCACGTGATTTGCTCGATATACCTCTCCATGTATCCCCCACTAGGTGTACCAAAAATTGTGTTCGTAAAAAATTGTCTTTTATAGTTTCCATTTTATGTTCTAGTTAGTACACTATAAACATTAAAACTTGGTATATTTAAATAAGGTTTGCGAACCATAAAGTATATTTTTAGATGTATTATATTTCAGAATTGTATGAGCTGGAGAAACTATATGTTAAGGAGTTGGTTTTCAAATAGTTTTTTTAGTTATCCCTAACTTAAATTGTACATGCTAGAATGTATTACATGTTTATTCAAAACCTTTAAAAGTTTCTGTCATCAATAAAAAAAAAAAAAAAAAAAAAAAAAAAAAAAAAAAGCACAACAAAGTAGTACTCAGTTACCATCAACAATCACACCCATTACCTGGCATCATGTGCACGTACAGATAAGTCTCTCCCAGGCTGTATGACTAACGAGAAACAAAAAAAAGTATACAAATCACTGCGTGCTATCGAACAATTTTCTCGAACGCCACATGAGCATCTCCTTCCCTCCCTTCATTACACCGTACTACGTAAGCCAGTACCCACACAACCCCTGCGTACTCTAATGTCCCTCCCAACTGCCGGTTTTCCCGCTTGTTTCGCTAATCAGCCGCGATTACTGTCCCTTTATATATGCGTACACGTACAAAGGGAACCATCCACACCACCACCGTTCCAATGCCGATTACCATCCCTACGGCAGCTACTTCCTACCTTGTGATGATTCGTTCCCACACAACACCTTTCTTTACGTATGCAGCAACAGCAGCAGCTCTTTGGTCTATCACGAGGTGATAGCAGTAGTCGTTGTAATACTTGGGTACTGCAGTGTGGTAAGAGTGACGGATGGAAAAACAAATTCATCGGCTGTAGTTACGTAAAATTGCTGGAGATGAGCTTGCCAGTGGAGCTGCGTCGGCTCAGACGTCAAAGCACCAATGTTGATTATCTGACTCGAGTATGGGTCGACGCTTGAGAAAGGTAAGTATACAAAAAAGATTACATTATAAAAATTGACGTATTGGTAAAAACAAGAGCAATTTTATTTCCGATGAAAACCCATAGCTAACCCAGATACGTACTATTTTCAACAATGTCACATTAAATTTTAGTTTGTTGTATTTTAAAATAATTTAGCAAATATTTTATTTGAATAACTAGTGGGGTTAATTGGTAATTACAAAAAATTAATTTTACAAAACATCTTGCATTTAAAACTAAATTGAGATGGCTGCTTCTTTTACTTGGAAGATTTTTTCCATAAAAAAATACAAGTACTTTCCTTTATAAAAAGTGGTTCCTTTATTAGCAGAGAAGATGGTTTTTACTTACAGTTGGGATAACTGCATCTTCCATCGAAAGTTTATTCATTTCTATTATGTTTCAAAGTTCCTTCATCATACGAAAAATCTTATTTTTTTAAGAAAATTCAATCTCCGAGTTTTTCAAACGTAACTTAATTTTCTTTGTAACCAAATGATGCTCGTGTTATGAAAAAGTGGTCCAATATTCCCAGGCCCTCTTGAAAAAAGTTTCAGGCCGGCAGCCTCTGCACCCCAACAGCCTCAACCCGTTCTATAAAGTAAGAGCACAGCTCCAGTACCGAATAAAATTTCAAATTCGTATAACTTACGGCGGGTGTTTATTATAACGCACCACTCGGCCGCCCTCGCCGAGGCATCTCAAACTCGGAACATGGAAAAAAAAAAAAAAAAAAAAAAAAAAAATAGCTTCGGTCATAATCATTTATTTGAAAAACTT